AATATTTAGAACATTTCTTTGTAAATGGATAACTTTTTCACGTTCATGTTCATTAGCTGCAATCTATAGTAAATTTGTATCACTTACATGCTTTTCGTATTATTTATCATGTAAATTAGTATTCATATTACCAAGAAAATTGTTACAAAGCGAGGCATTGTAAGACATGTTATAAAATATTATTTAAGACATGAATTCTTGATAAATATTTTACATATGTCAATAGTAAGCTTGTAGTTGGTTTTTAATTATTAGTGACAATGTGTGTTTGGGAAGTGCCTTTCTCAACGGAGGATAACTTTTTCACTTATTCTCTCATCACTTTAATTACATTGAACATAGATTGAGAATATTGACACTGAGCGTTATTCAAGGCAGTATTTGCCGCGCACCACCACTTTATGGAACCAGCTGCCCACTGAAATATTTCCGAACCAATTCGACTTAGGGCCCTTCAAGAATAGAGCGTACCAATTCTTAAAAGGCCGGCAACGCACTCGCGAGCCCTCTGGCATTGAGTGTGTCCATGAGCGGCGGTATCACAGTGCGAGCCCTCTGGCATTGAGATTGTCCATGGGCGGCGGTATCACTTACCATCAGATGAGCCTCCTGCCCGTTTGCCGTTTTTTTATTTAAAAAAATCTTATCTTAAGTGAGCGACTTCAGTCTGTCATTGTCCAAAGAATTTTTATCAAAGGACAGGTCTCTGCATAATAAACACTTCAAATTATCGAGAGATTCGAGAAGAAAATAACGATATTCAATTATCGAGAATCGACTGTTTGATTAAACTGTCAAAACTTCGAGTTGTTTAACCATGTTAGGCTCTGCGTTTATTCATTAATCAGGTACAGTGAGAATTTGTACTTGGGTATAGAATTCTATAAATTACTTAAACCACTTCTATTGTTTGTAACGGTAACTTAACCTAAAGTCTTTAAAAGCATATCCTAGTTTTCGTCACAATGTTCTCGTACAATGTCTTGATGATGACGAAACACTTTAAACTGTGCTAATGGTCAATAAATCGATAAAACATTTATATCAATTAAATCAATTGCAGTGGCTTAGATGAGATAAATTAGTAAGCAAATAATTAACAACCCACGGTCACTTTTCTGGGTCATTTTAATTTAGACTTATCCAAAAATAGAATAAATGATAAGGTTTTAGTAGAATTTTTGACATTTAAAAAAATGCCAGTTCTCGCTATATGCGTTTGATTTCGGAACTAAATTTGGGAAGCAAATGTAACCAATATGATTAAATAAATTTTCATTTTAATCTCAAGCTTAAACCATGTTTCTAGGAAGGCTGTTAGCTTTCAGACCTCTACAAACAGGGCCCTCAATCTTCATTTATAATGTCCAGACCAATTAACATACATTAATGTAATTACATAGAATTAGAAGAAATAGTTTTAATCAATTATGACATTAATCACGTATGTTAGTATGAAAATTACCATTACCAAGGTTCACGTTTGAGCAAATTACTGTTTGCCCGTTGACGCCTTATGATGTCAAGGAAATGTTTGTATGCACTCTCTTGGAGGAAGTAATCTGACACGGTAGTCGGTAATAATTACGGCTCATCTACGTCGTGTTATATTGCAATTATGCAAATGGTCACCCTTCTAATGCGTATACAAAGTAAAGATATGAAAATATAGTCTGTAGCCGGTACAATATTTGTCATGATTCTATGACGAAAATTTCGCACGTCGCAGGTATTTTTGCCGGAAAATTCATATATGTATTACATCGACTTCTGACAGTATCTTTGTTTTTTTATACTGAACTGGACAGCTACTTAGCCAAATTACCATCTGATGTTAAGTGAGATGTGGTCTATTGGAAGGCACGCCTGTCCAGGAGATGCCTATTAAACCACTGCTTGCTATTTATCTTTACTTTCTATATAAGTGTATACAGAATATTGTTATTCATATACTAAATACTACATACATACATACTCATATACAGAATATTGTTACAATAAGAATCCTTTTATTGCTATTAAATACAATTACTAAATTAGTAACGAAATAGTGTTCGAATTCGATAAATTAATGACCCAGGTTGACCTTCTGAGAAGCTATCAGTGTAAACGTATTAAAAATATTTTTCCGGAATGGTTAATGTCTCAGGAACTTATAAATGGGGAATTACAAAAAATGCGAATCTTAGATTTGAGGTAAAAACAATTCAAATAATATCTTACATGAGTTTGAAGTTTCGTTTTTATTTTTTCTATGTACATTTATTCTTTGTTCTACAGTTGCATAAAGCGACATATATAACACCATTGCAATTATATATCCTTGGTATATATAATCTATTATCATAATAATTGACATGTAATAGTGACTCCGCCAGCATGAAACTATGCAAATCAATAGTTACTGAGTCAGAGAGTACATGCGCTTGCGATTCGTACAGCCACGTGTTTTCAATACGGATTAAATTGCTAATATCGTGATTTTTATTGGTGTAATTATAGAACTGTCGTTTATATTCATATCGCGCTTTATTATATAATTACTCGACCTAGATAAAAGTAATTTGATTTTGGTTTTATGAATACAGTTAATATAATACGTAATTTATCTTTCAAATAATTCAATATACACTGCCTCCGAGTTCTATAAATCTTTTTTCCGATGACTTCGCAAGCTAGTCGCAGTTGGGTGAAGGAGTTCCAGTCGAATTTATTGAGAGAATAGAATATGCCGATCTCACATAGGAAAGACGGAAAATTGCAAAATAAACTTAATATCATAAAGTACTATAGGGTAAAAGCCGGATACTTGCCTCGGACGGATACATGCCCCGGTGTTTAAAAAACTATGTTAAGATTATAAGTTGTATTGGCGCTTTACTACAATAAGTAGTGACTGCCCCTCAGGCTTAAATGCAACGTAAGCCATCGGAATAGGCCCAAGTGTTTTGTCCGTGTGAGCAAAAATCTTCCGCGGCGAAACTTTGACGGGCGTTATAATTATATTGGTAAGTAATTTCTATTGAATATTTTTATCACTGATCGTGGTTTCAGTCAACTTTTTGTTTCTTTGCATGCATTAGAGTTTAAATTACACTGTTTATCATGTTTTATTGCTAAATAATTTTTATTTATTTCGCAAATAAAAAGGGCAAGTATCCGCATCAAAAAGGATAGTCGCCCTACTAACTGTCGCGGATTGTTGCCCCTAGAGTGATTAAAAATTTCTTAACAATCATAGACGGATTTTATGTTTTTGCTGTTTTTTTGATTTTACTTTGTCTCTAACTTGTTGTAAATTAAATAAATATCTACTTCACAGTTTTATATATTTATTATAGATAAGCAGAATACCTCATCAACATCAACTGGACAGAAGATAGCTTAGCACTTGCCTTCGAAAAATTGAGACAAAGTTGGGATTAAAGCACAACTTTATTAATGAGAGTAAAATGGCTGGACCTCAATGGCTAAAAAGCTTTCTTGAAAGAAATCCTGATGTAACTTTGAGACAAGCTGAGGGTTTATCAATTGAATGAGCGAAGGGTCTCAACAGAACAGAAGTTGCTAATTTTTTCAAACTCTTGACAACTATTTTAACTGAGAATAATTTGCTGGATAAGCCAGATAAAATATTTAACATGGATGAAAGCGGTGTCCAACTCAATAATAAAATTAGTAAAGTATTAGCTAAGAAAGGTGCTAAAGCAGTTAAATCAATTATTTCCGGTGAAAAAGGATAAAAAATTACTGTTGTTTCTTAATATTTCAAATTGTACTTAATAAAAGATCTCAGTACACAACAAACAAAAAAAGACTGTTAAATAAATAATAAAGATTACTCTAATTGATATAAATTTCTTTCTATCCAAAATAAAAACCCACGAGGCAAGTATCCCTGAAGCATTTTCTACGCTAGGCTACTATCCGCCATAGTAGGCAACTATCCCTTTTCTGAGAGGTGAAATAAAACTGTATTTATTCAAAACCATTGATAATTATGTATACAAAAATAGGCTTTTATAGAAGATAAAAGACCTATGTTGCGAGATACATACTGAACAATTTTCAGCAAGTTCATATTTAAAAAATATAAAGCTTTTTCGAAAAGTGGGGCAACTATCCGGCTTTTCCCCTAGTCAACTCGTATTGAAAACAATAATCTATTGATGTTCACTGTGCTGTATTGGGCGTGGTCCTATACTACGTGCCAAAAGGTATTTAAAAATATAAGAATAGAAAATATTTATAAGTAATTGTGAAATTACGTCACTATCTAATAACGAACGTGGATATCATTTTCCATCATTAGCGTTTCAAGACAGGATGTCACACTAAGCGAAATAAGCTTATTTTATAGACTGTAATCTTACTGGGTTATGGACTTATATACTTATTAGTTATTACTATTACTGTAGTTTAAATAAATATTTAATACTATTGAATTAATTAATAATGAAGAAATTTTATACAAAAGATAAGTTTGTTTAATTGTAAAAATGCAACTTCGGTCTCAATGATATACATATATATTATTTAATGCTATGAACTACGGAGTGTCGTAAAACCGTTGGGAAATGCCAACCCATTTCCTCACCTTACATAAAGCAAGTATTGTTTTAGAACAATATTGAACCCAGGTTAAGATTTAAACATTTTCCCTTTATAGTAACATATTATAACTACATATATCAAATGCCTTTAACAACAGAAGTTTCCATAGTAGACTAGATGTTTCTCGAACATGCGATATAAGACAATCTCCAGTTATCATAAACGTTCTTTAATTTAGGAATTAAAATCCTTATCGCTTGACAATTTGCAAATATATTAAAACGTGGCAACCCCTCCAGCCGTTTCGTAACGATTTGCAGAATGCAAGGATTATAAATAAGACCGTTACGGGGTGAACTTTGAGACTATTTAATATTCAATTAGTTCTGTTCGCGTGGGTTACTTAAAAGACAGCGCAATTGTGTAATATTCAATTAAGATAATACCTGGGTTAGCGGACGTTCGGCGTCGTCGTGCCGATGCCTTTCTCACTGCAATGGAAACAAGTGAATCCATTTCGCTCCCCGAATCCCATCGCCGTCTGGGTGGAGACAGCTTGGGCAGCGCGCGCGCATCATCCTCTGTATCTCTATCACTACTCGTCGGAGGTACGTGGGATTCGTCACTTTCCGGCGGGACGGGTTCTACTTTCATGGCACTAACATCGATTGGCACTTTGTCGAAACACGATATCGGATGTGTCAGTGTTCTTTGTATGTTACTCTTCCTGTGTTTCACTTTTATTGAGACTTCTGATAGGGATCGCCTTCCCAGTTTTTCTGTTTTCTCTACGCATTTTAAATCTGATGGAGACAGGGATTTCTTTCTTGAGTTACGTCTTTTGATGTTGCGCTTTCGGCTGGAGTCTCTTGTGCTCTGCATTGTTGCATTGGTTTTTATCTGGAATGAGAAAGTAAAGGTTAATGTTAAGAACCTGATGGGAGCGAGAGGAATGTGTAAGACGACCACTCCAATAGCAAACAGGCACGAATTCTCTTCCAACATTTTTCGACGACGAACTTTGATAATAAATTTAAATGAAATAATATTTATATATTCATAGCTCAGTTAATTATGTAATAATATAACAGGTTAATTATATGTAACATAAAATAAACTATTGAAATATTTAAATTATTTGCCAACGAAACAACGGAATGCATGAAATATACGAATATAAAATTTATCACATCTTAAAAAATAACTTATTATCTATTATAATTTAACCTGAAATTTAACAAACACCTTATTGTTTTAATATCTACTCATTAAAAAAGTAATTTTTCTGTAAATAATTTACCTTATTTCACTAAACCACAACCTCAAACCAAAGAAATTGTAACGTTATCTGCATCGGATCACATTACAAGTTTACACTACACAAACACACGTCACTTATTATCTATGCACTAAATCACACTAAAGGCACTAAAAACATACTGAATTACGTAATTATAAAAATAAAGCAAAACTAAAATATCTAATGATTGTTCAGTCAACGTCCGTAGTCGACGACTCGTTAGTCTCTACTGCCTGTGTTGTCGACTTAAACACTGCGATACTGTTATACAGCCTAGACAAACAAGGCTTTGATAATATTTATTGCTAACCAATTATAAATAATACTCTCATTGGCTTGACACGATTCACGACTTCGAAGTGACAAAGGTTCAAATGTATTACAATTAATAAATATACTATAATGACTAATGGAATTTAAAAAATATATAAGTTGATAAATTTTCGAGAAGGGTCAGTGTTTTCCAACCCACAGGGGGGCAATTTGATTGTAAACGGCTAGTCGAAAACTTATTAAAATTATTTGGAATTTGCATTTTTAAGTAGTAGTTTTGAAAATTTACTTTACTGTGTTTCGTTAACTTTCCTAGATATTTCTTCCTAAAATTTCCTAGTTATTTCTTCCTAAAACCTATAATTTAAGTTTCTTAAGTGTATGGCAAAAAGCATCTCGTGTCCGATACACGCTACCAAACACGAGTGAAGCTACGGGGCACAGCTATCTATTTTTAAGAAAAGTTTCAAAACCTATAATTTCGTTTTTTCTACTGTTTCGCCCTTAGCACGAACAAGAAATCGAACAGTTAACGTTATTGATGAAATAAAAGTTTTGACCGACTTCATTTGTATGCTATATTTTATATTAATAATAATTGCTTACTGTTATTATTAACAATAATTGTATGAATATGAATAAACCTTCCGTGAATTTAGAAGTGAACTAATTGAAATAATATTATTATATTTGTGCTGGCAAAAACGATCAATGTATACTTCAGCATACTATGGAGGAGTTCATGGTAACATATTCATAAAATTAAATCATAAGGACTCATCATATGGCAAGTGGGAGATCCGTCTTCGGTAGCTTTTTGTCTGAAAGACACGTGTCAGCACATTTTAGGGGATTTCAAAGAGTAGAGGACTTCTTATAACATTATACTTTGACAACTTAACCTACTTAAGTTTAGCCGTAGGACACTTGCATAAATTAAAACCAATAGCACAGATTATATAATAGTTACGTATCAAGCGTCGACAAGACCCAATTCAAACTGTCAATTGTCAATCAACTAATAAAATAATGAGACAAAGCTTCTTAAACGAATACATCGCGTTAAGAATAATTTGAATATTATCTTTTCACAAAAAGCAACGAGTTTAAAGTCCGTTCTTAATTAGTTCTCACGAAATAAGAACTAATTTGCGCAAAAAATTTAATCTTTAATATTCTTAAATGCAACAGTATTATATTGCAACGTTGATTTTGAGTTCTTATACATAAAATTTACAACTTGTTTGCATATACAAAGTTAATATGGTATACCTGTTTAGCTTATATTTTACTAGTTTAGCTTATATTTTTATAAAGTATAAACACGGGAATCGTCTTGTATACAAATAACTTTTACTAGTAGTAATAATTAGTTACTTGTGTTTAAAGTAATTATTATTCGCTTAAAATTTCGTCATTTTCGATATAAATATCGCAAACCTTACTGGATTTAAAGGGGAAGAGTTTAAAGTAATATTTAATTTTAGGAAAATCACACATCGACAGACGGGCATCGTCGTAACAACTACAAATAACTGCTTTAAATAGTAATAATTAACTACATACCTAAATAAAATCTTCATTTAACATACATATCGCAAACCTTACTGAATTACTATAGCTCCCCAAAACATTTTTCCCAAAGGGAAAAAAAAAAAAAAAAAAAAAAATTTTTTTACCCAACCTCCCCCCCCCCCCCCCCCCCCCCCCCAAAAAAAGGGGGGGGGGGGGGCCCCCCCCCCCCCCCCCCCCTTCCCCCCCCCCCCCTTCCCGCGGGGGGGGGAAAAAAAATAAAACCCCCAAAAAATTTCTTTTTTTTTTTTTTTTTTCCCCTTTTTTTACCCATTTTTCTTTTCCTTCCCCCCCCCCCCTTTTTTTTTTTGTTTTCCCCCCCCCCCCCCCCCCCCCCCCCCCCCCCCTTTTTAAAAATGAGAAAACCGCCGCCCCCCCCCCCCCCCCCCCCCCCCCCCCATAAATTTTAATAAAGGAAAAAAAAAAAAAAAAAAACATATAAAAAAAAAAAAAAAAAAAAAAAATTTTTCCCCCCCCCCGGGGGGGGGGGGGGGGCCCCCCCCGCGTTTTTTCTTTTTTTTTTTTTTTTTTCCCTTTTTTTTTTTTTTTTTTTCCTCTCTTTTTTTTTTTTTTTTTTTTTTCCCCCCCCCCCTTTTTTTTTTATTACATTTCCCCCCCCCCCCCCCCCCCCCCCCCCCCCTTCCCTTTTTTTGTCGGGCCCAATCCCCCCCCCCCCCAAAAAAAAAATTTTTTTTTTTTTCCCCCACCCCCCCCCCCCCCCCCCCCCCCCCCCCCCCCCCCCCCCCCCCCCCCCCCCCCCCAAAGAGCCCGAAAAAACACCCCCCCCCCATTTTTTTTTATTTTTTTTTTCCCCCGGGGCCCCCCGCCCCCCCCCCCCCCCCCCCCCCCCCCCCCCCCCCCCCCCCCCCCCCCCCACCCCCCCCCCCCCCCCCCCCCCCCCCCCCCCCCCCCCCCCCAACCCCACAAAAACCCCCCCCCCCCCCCCCCCCCCCCCCCCCCCCCCCCCCCCCCCCCCCCCCCCCCCCCCCCCCCCCCCCCCCCCCCCCCCCCCCCCCCCGGCACAAAAAACAAAAAAACAAACAACCCCCCCCCCCCCCCCCCCCCCCCCCCCCCCCCCCCCCCCCCCCCCCCCCCCCCCCCCCCCCCCCCCCCCCCCCCCCCCCCCCCCCCCCCCCCCCCCCCCCCCCCCCCCCAACAAAAAAAAAAAAAAAAAAAAAACAGAGAGGGACCCCCCCCCCCCCCCCCCCCCCCCCCCCCCCCCCCCCCCCCCCCCCCCCCCCCCCCTTTCCTTTTTTTTTTTTTTTTTTTTTTTTTTTTTTTTTGGATTAAGATAAGGCTAAGATAAAGGTGCGAATTTAGGAAATAAACAATTACACATCGGCTTCTTGTACTAACAGTACCGACTAATTTGCTACTAAAACAACGCTATTGCCCTGTTATTACTCAATTGAGAACAAGTTCATCTAACTTCCCATAGTTCAGCCGGGTTAGAGGTTTCTCATGCCCGACAATGCCTTTGTTTGAACTCCTTGAGTAATGTTATACTTCATTACAGGGTCCACTCAATGTCAGTACCTTCGCCTTGTAGGGAAAGCGAGATAACAATGTGTGCTGTACATATATTTACATTATGTTTAAACTTGGAACAGAATTGATTTCCGTGAGCTAATTAGAATTGTATACAATTTCTCACAAAGTATAGACGTCACAGTCGAATGTATATAAACATAAAAATAACATAATATACCTATTCAATTGTTTTCAATAGTTAGATAATATTATTTCTTGGCGAGTTTTCCTAATTAATGATTGCTTTTAAAAATATAATGCAAGAAAATAAATTGTATAGAATTTTCATCAACTTTTAGTCAGCTTATTTACGATTTTTATATAAATAACAATTTTATCTCAGAATTAAATAAGCTAAACATTTATTAAATATGAATCATATATAAATCATAATTTACATAATTAAACAAAAGAAGGATTTTTCATATGTAAGTTAAGTATTTAGTTATTACATCACTGAAGTATTTTATTATTTTATATTGTGCTTACAAATAGATTTATTGTGTATATAACATTTTTAACGAAATCTAGAGTATTGTTCCTAAATTAAAGTAGCCACGATGAACGCCAACCTTCGAAAGGAGATGGCACTATATAGGAAAGAAGGGATTTGTTTGAAAATAATGCAGTAAAACAAAACACAATCTGTAAACAAAATTGCTTATCTATGGAGTTGAATAAAATGTAATAGAGAAATAAGAATTTAACACAACGAAAATTGATAAAATTAGGTTTATGTGAAAACCGGATCGTATGCAGGTCACTGAACCCACTATTTGTCAAATGTACGTGAAATTGAAAAGGTGATGTGTTAGATACATTTATGGGAAGTTATTAATAAGTGTAAATTATTTAAACTCCCAATATAGTTCATTATATTATATATATAAAGAAAAGGTCGTTTTTTTTTTCTCTTAAAGCTTTCTCTGGAACTAGATGAAAAGGATTACCATACAAAATATAGCGTTTAAATAAATCGCATATAAAAGATAAGAAGCCTTATCGAGTACTATTTTGTAAGTACATAGTTGATTGACACAAGTCAGGTCAAAAGTACACCAGAAGGTCTTTGACTTTGATATTATTAACCAGAGGTTATAATTATTATTGCGAGGGTGCAAAATTTCATATTTTAAATCCTAACAACGTTTTCTTCATATTCGCCATCAGCTAGTCGTGCCGCCATATTGAAAACGCAAATAGCAGT